AGGGAACTGGGACAGGGAACTGGGGGCAGGGAACTGGGGCAGGGAACTGGGGGGCAGGGAACTGGGGGCAGCAAACTGGGGACAAGAACCTGAAACAGGGAACTGGGGGCAGGCGACTGGGACAGGGAACTGGCGGGCAGGGAACTGGGGGCAGCAAACTGGGGACAGGGAACTTGGGACAGGGAACTGGGGACAGGGAACTGGGGGGGAGGGAACTGGAACTGGGGACAGGGAACTGGGGGCAGGGAACTGGGCTGATCTTTCTATTGTATGTAGAACCTCAAGTCGCCGATCAAGGCCTACAGGTGGATCTCAGACGAGGCTGATCTCCAACTATGTTGAACCTCTATGCACTGTCTTTTGTCTTCAAGGAACTCCAACCTCCTCCATCAGAGTTGCCCAAAAAAGTAGCTGACACACCCTTGTGTCTTGATAGTATCTATTATTCACCCTCCGATGAGCCATGTTGGAAGCCTCAATTGCAGCAAAGAAGAAGGACTGCAGAAGCTCAATCTGGCCTCCAAAGCCCTCAAATTCTCTGCGGCTAATTTACTTCCCCCGGGAGTAGTAGCAGTAGTAGCTGAAAATCGTCGCGGTATATACTATTTGTTTCCTATTTTTTCATTTGAAGTCAAAATAGATAGCACAAAAAAACGTTCGTTAATTCGTTGAGTTTGATCTTTCAAATAAGCAATTTTTTTATACAAAAAAGACCAACTTAATTAACTAATGATTTAATGATTTCAAGCCAGGAAAACGAAATGCTCTATGTGCAGTGTATCGATTTTCAAAAAAAACTTTGATGTTTGGAGTTTTTCCTCTAGTTCAAGTTCTGTACAGGAGCTTAGCTGGCAACCAAAACAAAGACCTGAAAGGTTTAGAAACCTGGAGGTCAACATTGTCTGAGATCCACAGGTGTTTGCCTCAAGCGTTGGAGGTCAGTTTTGCGTGAGACAAAAAACCTAAAGGTGAAGCTGCTTTTGATACACTTTTTGAATTTACTTTTTGGCTTCAAAAGAGGAGCCGTACATGTCGGCTGGAAGCCAAAAGCAGCTTCTCATTTTCTGGCATTTTTTTGACCGTCTATGTCAACAGGCTCGCTCGCGCAGATAACCGGAAAGTGTGACATTGACTTGAACTAGAGGAAAAGCTCCAAACATCAAAGCTTTTTTTGAAAATCGATACACTGCACTTAGAGCATTTCGTTTTCCTGGCTTGAAATCATTAAATCATTAGTTAATTAAGTTGGTCTTTTTTGTATAAAAAAATTACTTATTTGAAAGATCAAACTTCACGAATTAACGATTTAACGATGTTTTTTGCGCTATCTATTTTGGCGAGTTTTTGTTTTCATTACTGTGGCTTGCTGGCAATTGCTGGCAAACAGCAAAGCTGTAACCAGAAGCCATCGACAAAGGAAAAAATAGAGGCCGAGCCAACTCCAGCGAGCATTGAACCAAAGAAAACAAACCTTTTGCAGAGCCCGGGGGAACAGAATTGGTTCAGTTTTCACGCCCATTTCAGAGTCCCACTCTCATCTAGCA